TCTTATTCAGCGGCAAAGCCAGCATAGCTGGAGCATCCTCATTGAGGATGTCCACCATGGGGTCAGACTCTTCAGTGACCGGTTCGACATGCACCCCCAAATTGTCCGCCATATGGCAGAGCAGCTCCTGGTGGGACCTGGCATCCATAGCTGGTATGGAAGGAGCTGGGTCCACCAGGGCCTCATCAGGCGATGCCGACGCTGATGACTCTCATCCCACGACCTGCTGCTCTGGTACAACTGGTGCCGGGGACGGCTGCTGCAACTCCAGCGGCTGTTGCAGAGGACCCACCGGTGGCACCTCCAGGGCACCATGCCCCTGTGGGTCTATCCCCATGGGTGATGGTGGGGCCCGAGATAGGGAGGCTGATGGGGTAGAGCGTCTGCAAGACCCACTGTCCGGGAAAGACAAAGGGCGCGGGCCCTGCCACTGATGTCCAAAAGGGCCAGGACTGCTGCATCTGTGATGGCCATGTCTGTTCAAACCCCGGGGGTACCACTTGGTGCCAGGAGATAGATCAGTACCACACTGAATGGCGAGATGAACCCAGAGACTGGAACGACTCTGCTTCAGACTTGGATGACAGCTCCGAAGTCGACCAAGGTGGTGCCGCGGCGGGCTGGCCCTGCAGTAGGCCAGGCCTAAAACATGCCATGGACACATGTTTGCCCGTGTGCACGTGGGGCGACATGTGTGCCTCCTGCCTAGGAGGTGCCCGGCACGGTGGCACTGACCCCGAAGCTCGGACTAGCGCTGGCGGTGCTGGGAGCAGCACTGCTGCTGCTGTGCCTCCAGTGTAGGAAACGTCACAGTCAGGGATTGAAGCAGTGCAGGCGCTGACAGCAACAGCAGCACCGAGGGCTGGAACGATGCTGGTGCAGAGGCCAGAGCCAGCACTGGGGCCGGTGTCGGAGCAGGTGTCAAAGTTGAGGATGGTGCCCGGGCCGGTACCGGCGCTGGGCGTGGGGCTGCCGAAGGCGCACCCCATGCCGACTCAAACAGGCAATGTGTGTCCCATGCCGGCAACATCGGTAGGTCCCCCAACTCAACCGGTGCCGGCCACCTGCCTGGAGGCCTGGGCGACCCCAGAGCCCCCGATGCCTCCGGTGCCGAGGACAAGGACCCCTCGGAGGAGATGGGAGACAGAGGCGAGGTTGCCAGCTCAATCAATTCTTGAGCCACCTCAAATGTCTCTAGCATGGCGGGGCGATGAGCCAGGAGCGGCACTGGGCTTCTGGCCCGATGCGAAGATGTCTTCTTATGCCGGTGCCTGTTGCCGTGCGCCCTCTTCTGTGGCGATCTCCCTCTGGAGACCTTGGACTTCTTCAGTGCCAGGGACTGGGAGCTGTGCCGCGGTGCAGGGCTAGATGGAAGGGGTTTCCCGCACCGACGCCGGTGTGCTACGCACTGAAAGTTCCCCTGAAGGTACCGGCTGAAGCGCTGATTCCATCAGAAGTTTCAAGCGGGAGTCCCACTCCCGTTTGGTACGAGGCTTGAACCCCCGACAAATCTTACAGGAATCAATGAGATGGGACTCCCCATGGCACTTGAGACACTCGCGGTGGGGGTCCCCTTTTGGCATAGGCTTAGCACAGGCAATGCAAGGTTTGAAGCCCTGAGGGTCTGGCATTCCCGACCCCCAAAGGGGGTAGGGGAAAAACAGCAAAGTCCTATCACTAAGGGTATGTCTACACTACGCCGCTAGTTCGAACTAGCGGGGTAATGTATGCATACCGAACGTGCAAATGAAGCCCGGGAAATTCAACTCCCGGGCTTCATTTGCACGTTCGGTATGCATACATTACCCCGCTAGTTCGAACTAGCGGGGTAATGTATGCATACCGAACGTGCAAATGAAGCCCGGGAAATTCAACTCCCGGGCTTCATTTGCACGTTCGGTATGCATACATTACCCCGCTAGTTCGAACTAGCGGGGTAATGTATGCATACCGAACGTGCAAATGAAGCCCGGGAAATTCAACTCCCGGGCTTCATTTGCACGTTCGGTATGCATACATTACCCCGCTAGTTCGAACTAGCGGGGTAATGTATGCATACCGAACGTGCAAATGAAGCCCGGGAAATTCAACTCCCGGGCTTCATTTGCACGTTCGGTATGCATACATTACCCCGCTAGTTCGAACTAGCGGGGTAGTGTAGATATACCCAAACTTATCTAACACTACTTAACAGCTACTTAACACTACTTGAACAATGGCCAACGGGCAACAATAGAAAGCGGGGAATCTGCACAAGGCAACAAGCTCCAATGACGATCACGGGTGGTAATAAGGAACTGAGGAGGAAAAGGACCTGTAGGGGTACTTATGCTCTGTTATAGCGGCACCACTCCAGGGGGCGGCCTGCTGGCCTGACGGGTACCACTGGGTAAAAAATGCTCCGGGAAACCGTGCATGCAGTGCGCGCACACCTCATTCAAATGGACATGAACAATCACTTGAAGAAGAATATTCAGGTTTATCAAGACGTGCAATTCGTCAGTTGTTAAACTTCACCAGCGCATACTTGTGTGAAACTGGGTTCTCAAATTATGCAGCAACAAAAACAAAATACAGGAATCAATTGAATGCAGCATCAGATACACATCCAACTTTTTAGTATTAAACAAAATATAAAAAGAATTTGCCAAGAAAAAAAGAAAAACCATTCTTCACATTGAAAACTGCCAATATAATTCATATTAGTTTTTGAGCTTTATTTTTTTGTACACATTAAATGTGATTTTTGTTTTTAAATATGTGCAGTTAAACTAAATGTTGTTCTCATGACCTTATTTAATAATTGTTCATTATTATTATCCTTATTTGTGGTCTACTTTTTCAGCTCCATATACCAGACTATCTTCCTGGGGGCCTGGGGTATGTGTACATGTGTCATGGTGCTCAGGTCCAGCGGCTCGACAAATTTTTCCTAGGGGTTCCTCGAAATTCTTCCAAGTTTAAAAGGGTTCCATGGCCAAATAAAATTGGGAAACACTGCTTTATGGTATTGAGGACTTTGTTAGTTCTGCCTGCGAACAACTTCTCCCCATCAAAGGGCAAATCCTCAACAGTGGATTGTGTTTCACAAGGGAATGTGGTTGGGGAGAATCAGGAGGCCCTGCACATCACAATAGCAGTTGTTGTGGTCCTACCCACCGTATCTGCGGCATCAAGCGTGGCCTGGCGAGCAGCATGCGAAATAAAATGTCCTTCCACCACTATAGAGGCAAATTGTCGTCTTTTTGCCTCCAGAATCTCATCTGCAAAATCCATCAGCTTGGTGTAATTCTTAAAATCCAGCAAAGCCAAGTAGTTCAAGATCCTAAACTATAAAGTCAAGGATGTGTAGGCCTTGCAACCAAAGAGATTAAGCATCTTACTATCCTTATCTGGTGGAATGGTGCAAAAGCGATGTTGCTTTGCACATTGGTGTGGGGCTTCCACCACTAAGGAGTTTGGTGTCAGGTAGATAAAAAGGAACTCCAAGCCCTTAGCAGGTACATAGTATTTGTTATCAGCCCTCTTTCACATAGGGGATATAGAGGTAGGAGTTTGCCAAATCATGTTGGCAAGATCCAGAATGGCTGGATTGACAGGGAGGGCTATTTTGGACGATGGTGAGACTTGGAGGATGTCTGAGAGCTTGTGCTCAGATTTGGACACTTCCTCCATAGTGATTTTGAGTTCAGTTGCTACCCTCTTAAAGAGCTCATGGAAGTGCATGAAATCATCCACAGGTGAAGGTGTAAGAGGCATCTCGGCCTCCTCAGATGAAGACAAGTTTGTTGTGGGTGATACATCGGTGGGTGATTCCTCCATAACCTGAGCCCTTGAGCTTCTATAGTGAGAGATTGCTGCACAGATGCAGCGTATAAAAACTAGCCTGCTTGTAAGGGCCAAGTTGCACTTGGGCTTCAATAAGGCCATTGTGCAGGATGTGGCCCCAGTGGAGGCATCCAGTGGTATCCATGCCACGGGAGGACTCCCCGTGGGTCATAAAGCTGCTTGCAGTACTGCATTGTAGGGCTACGATGTGGAGATAAGGAGTCCTGTAAGCCTTCCTCTTCATTGCTGGAGAATTTGTGATAGCACTGGAAACGCTGCTTGAGAAGTCATGGGTCTAGAGTAGGGGTCAGCAACGTTTCAGAAGTGGCATGCCAAGATTTAACTTACTCACTTCAATTTACAGATATGTGTGCTGGAGGGAGAAGGAGAAGGCTGGGTACAGTGACCATATTTTCTGAACTAGCTGTAGCTAGAGAGAATGGTCTAATTTAAATTATTAAACAGATTAAGTGTTTTAACTTTTTCATGTTAGTTTATCAAACTTGATTTTAAATAAAGTAAAATATTAATTTATGTTCAACACAAAAGGTTTCAATACTTTATTTATGGCAGGGGTGGGGAACCTTTTTTGGGTTAGGGGCCACTGACCCACAGAAAAATCAGTTGGGGACCACATAAGTGAGAAGCCAAAAAAAAAAAAAACCCTCCTCTAAACTCCCCCCCCCGACCCTCACTGATGTGGCCCCCAACTGAGACATCGCACTCCTCTGGCACTCCACCCCATGGGGTGAAGGGAAGAGACAGGGAGGACTGAGATTCAGGGCTTCCCATAGGCCACATTTACTTTTCTGGGGTTCCGGAGATACTGGATTTTGTGGACCATCTTAGCTCTGGGGTAGAGACAAAAATGAGGGGTTCAATATGCAGGATGGGACTGCCAGCAAGTGGGATAAGGATGCAGGATCCGGGCAGCAGGAGGTGAGGAGATCAGGGTCTGGAAGGGAGTGTGGTGGCAAGAGACGGGGTGGGTGGAGGCATGAGGGGGAGTTTGAGAATGGGAGGGGGTTAGGGGAGTAACACAGAAAAAGGTGAGAGGGTGAGAATGCAGCCAGATAGCTAGTTGGGGAGGGAGGCAAAGAAGTGGGGAGTATAAGAAAGTGCAGCTTCTGAAAAAGTAAAATTGTATCTCCCCTCACATCTTCTCTCTGCTCCAGCCTCACTCCCCTCAATCCCATGATCCCCCCCAGCCTGATCCCCTGCATCACCCCATCCCGTCTCACTGCAACACCTGCCCCTGCATCCTCCGTCACCCCCCCTCTTATCCCACAACCCTGTGACTCCAGTGTGCACACCGGCACAGCAACAGAGCTGGGACTCGCAGCCCCCTCGAGCAGTGCTGGGATGAGGAGGGACCAGGGAGGGGGGAAGAGTCACTTCCCTGCAGTCCTTAGCCAGAGCTCACCCCTTACCTGCTGACTGCTGCTCTGGGGCTGGTTCCAGCCTGATCAGGCGTAGTGAGGCACTGAGGAAGGGGCTTCCATCCCCTTACACAGCTTGTGGGGAGCAGCGAGAAGCAGTCTGGGTCCTCGGGCCCCACAGAGGCAGCAGCAGCTTGTGACCGGCTCACCCAGCCCCAGATCTGCAGAGCAGCTCCAGACCTACCCCTCCTGGTGCAGAACCTGTAGCAAGGGGGGTGGGGGATGTTAGCTTCTAGGAGCTACATGCCCAGGCTGGGCAGGGAGCAGCCCCAGGGATGCAGAGCCCAGTGCGGAGTCACACCGCCCACTCTGGTCGCCAGGCTGCTCCACCCCTACACGCCCATGCCTCCCCTACCCCGTTTGCTAAGTATGTGTGGCACCAGTCATCCCCTAGTGCACCCAATTCCCTCCAGAGCCTTCACCATCTCCCCCAAGTTCCCCATTCTGCCAAAAAAAGTTTCCCCGCCCATCCAGGCCCCACACTCCCTCTCATAGCTTACATCCAGGACCTCCAACCCAAGGGCAGAACCTACACCTTTACCTCCTCCTTGAACCCCCATTTCTTCCCAGAGCCTACACCCCAGATCCCATCCTGTACTCCAATCCCAACTCCATCCGAGGCCCAGTCCTACCCCTTCAGCATCCAAACTCCTTCCCAGAATCTGCAGCCTCTGCTGCCCCCCTAATCTCCTGCTTCAGCCCAAAGCCTGCACCCAGCAGCACCCAAACTCTCTCTCTCTCAAGCCCTCCCCTCTCCACCAAACAAACTCCCTCTCAGAATCATAGCCAGATGTCGGGGGAGGGGGAGAAAGTTAGAGTGGGGGAAGGGTGCAGGCTCTAGGCAGTCTGGGTACCATCAAAATTTCTGCAAACTTGCCGCTCCTGGCCTCTTGAACTAATTAACTGACACAAGAAGTAATTTGTCATCCTCTGCATGGAACAGCCCAAGTATAGCAAGAGGCGTACTTTGGCAGAATGTTTCAGGGACATTTCCTGGCAGCAGAGGAATGGTGAGAGTAAAAAATCTTGGGTTCCATTTCAGGTTCTGGAGAGCAGTATGCTGATTGAGTAAAATAAGCAGGAGTTAGGCATAGCTGGGCAGATGCCAGGCATGTTCCAGTTTTATTTTTAATTTGACTGACTAGTTTGATTGTTATATTGAGTTACTAGTGAAAAGAAATATTTAACTACATCACAAGGAAAATAAGAATTTATAATAGAAGCATCAATTCAACATTAAAGTACATTACAGCTAAGAAAAAGTTCACTTCCATTATAATTACAGTACAGTTATAAAATTTTGTCTCCTGTAGTCAATATGTCAAACTTTTATTTCAATAAACATGTTTGAACAAGTACTGCCATGAAGATATAATGTGGTATATATAACAATACAAGGCAAACAAAACCAAACCCAAACAAACAACTATCCTTCTGAAAAATAAAAACTAAGCAAAGTATAACAAAGAATAAACAAGTATAAATTAATGCATTTCACTAAAATATGAAGAGTTTGGAAAAGATATGGAAAAAATTCAAGGTCTTAATAGACGTTGAAAACTAGTAATAAAAAATGGCAAAAACAGAATAACATTTTCTAACATCATCTTGTCAATACACTAATAAAAGTCCATATTTTCCCTTTTGTAGTTACTGTCTACCTCTGTAGAAAGTATATTTCCCATAGCTTATTCTCATTATTAGATTTTTGTTGTTATTTTTGCGCCATTATTTTTATGGTTCAGTAATTAGTTTTACAATATTTGCTAATATTTCCAATTACTAATGATATCACGCAAGAGGCCGTCCTTCTAAAACATCTAAAATATCATTTAAACTATACTCAAGGCATGTAAGAAATTCAGGTAGTTCTTTCTTTAAATAGCTAGTTATATTGCATCCTAGCCATGTATCAAATATATTATATCCAATTCCAAAACCATCTGGTGCCACTGGCCCAAATCCACCAATAAGAACTGCAGGACTAGGTAACGTACTAGTTGAAAGGATAATATGGTTCAGTTTTTGGTAGGCTGAGTCAAGAAAAAATTCAGGCATAGGATCACCTCTGACCACTGAAAGATGTTTTAATGCAAATAAATGGCGATCAAATCCTTTGCCTAGATAAAACAAAAAGGTGCAAAAAGTGTTAAGAATACAGAAGAGATGTAGGTTATTTATTAAAGCACATTACAGAACTTTCCAAAAGCTAAGAATGGCAGTATACTTCAATACTTACTGTTCCTTCTCTACCTATAATACAAAAGGCACTGTCTTATAAGATTGTCAATTTTTAATGTATTTCCTGCTTGTATGCAAGCCAAGGCACCTAAGTAGAAAATTAGCCAACTTATTAAAAGAAACTGTAATTTTCAGACCAGCTTTTTATGCATTTAATTTGGTATTCTTTTGGCACACACAGTGGGAGTCAGGAGAGGGTAAAGGGAGAATAAAGGCTTTATCAGAATAGCTGCCAGTGTACACACTATTTCAGAATAAAAGTTTTGTTATACTGGATGAATTACTTCACTTTGGAAGCACATTGGAATAATTATTCTGAAACAGCTATTTTAGTCAATTTCCCTGCATAGATAAACCTTAAGAAAAGGGGAGGAAGAACAAAAAAAGGAAGTGAGATTCCTACTGAAAGTGACCAGGGGAATGACATCAAGTAGATTTACTCCACTTAGAATCCTAAAATCAAAATAAAGAATTCTAAGGATTAAGTGCTGCTCCAATTGCCTATTTTGTCACATTACTACTATTCAATTAAATTGATATTTAAATATTTAAGGTATGCTGGCATGTGAAAGGTATTAGATATAAGTATATAAATCTATTATTTTACTTGAAACCTAAGTAAATATTCACAAGTTCCCCATATTGCTTCTCTATTACTGGGACATTGTAGTGCTCACTTCATAAAGCGAACAAAATGATGGGATGACAAGGATAAGAACAGCCAGCATACCTTAGGTCAGACCAAAGGTCTATCTAGGCCAGTATCCTGTCCTCCAAAAGTGGCCAATGCCAGGTGCCCCAGAGGGAATGAACAGAACAGGTAAACATTAAGTGATCCCTCCGTTGTCACCTACTTCCAGCCTCTGACAAACATTTGTACCCATCCCAGCCAATAGCCATTGATGGACCTATTCTCTATGAATTTATCTAATTCTTTTTGGAACCCTGTTAAAGTCCTGGTCTTCACATCATCCTCTGGCAAGGAGTTCCACAGGTTAACTGTGCATTGCATGAAGAAGTACTTCCTTTTGTTTTAAGGCTGCTACCTATTAATTTGAAGCAAAATGCAGGACAATGTAGCACTTTAAAAACTAACAAGATGGTTTATTAGATGATGAGCTTTCATGGGCCAGACCCACTTCCTCAGATCAAATAGTGGAAGAAAGTAGTCACAACCATATATACCAAAGGATACAATTAAAAAAATGAACATAACAAGAATTTGAAATAGTTATTTAGAGAGTGTCCTAAATTCGACACTTCCCAACAAGGACTTAACAAGAATTTGAAATAGTTATTTAGAGAGTGTCCTAAATTCGACACTTCCCAACAAGGACTTAACAAGAATTTGAAATAGTTATTTAGAGAGTGTCCTAAATTCGACACTTCCCAACAAGGACTTAACAAGAATTTGAAATAGTTATTTAGAGAGTGTCCTAAATTCGACACTTCCCAACAAGGACTTAACAAGAATTTGAAATAGTTATTTAGAGAGTGTCCTAAATTCGACACTTCCCAACAAGGACTTAACAAGAATTTGAAATAGTTATTTAGAGAGTGTCCTAAATTCGACACTTCCCAACAAGGACTTAACAAGAATTTGAAATAGTTATTTAGAGAGTGTCCTAAATTCGACACTTCCCAACAAGGACTTAACAAGAATTTGAACTATCTCACCCTGCCCACGAAAACTCATCATCTAATAAACCATCTTGTTAGTCTTTAAAGTGCTACATTGTCCTGCATTTTGCTTCAACTACCCCAGACTAACACGGCTACATTTCTATCACCTATTAATTTAATTTGGTGACCCCTTGTTCTTGAGTTTTAGAGTAACTTTTCCGTATGTACTTTCTCCATACCAGTCATTATTTTATAGTCCTCTATCATCTCCCCCCTTAGTCTCCTCTTTTCTAAGGTGAAAAATCCTAGTCTTTCTAATCTCTCCTCATATGGCAGCAGTTCCAGACTCCTCCTCATTTTTTTGCCCTTTTCTGAACTTTTTCCAATGCCAAGATATCTCTGAGATGATCACATTGGCATTCAACATGAGGGCATAACATGGATTTATATAGAGGCAATACAATATTCTCTGTCTTATTCTCTATCCCTTTTTTAATGATTTCTAATATTCTGTTTGCTTTTTTGACTGCTGCTGCACATTTAGTGGCTGCTTTCAGATAACTATCCACAATGATTCCAAGATCTCTCTCTTGAGTGGTAATACTTAATTTAGTCTCATCATTTTATACATAAAATTGGGATTGTTTTCCAATACACACTGCTTTGCATTTATCAACATTAAAATTTGCTATTTTGTTGCCTCATCACCTAGTTTTTTAGATTCTTTTGAAGCTCTTCACAGTCTGCTTTGGACTTACTGTAATTATCTTTAGCAGTTTAGTATCATCTGCAAATTTTGCCACCTTACTGTTTACTCCTTCCTCCAGATCGTTTATAAATATGTTGATTAGCAGGGCTCGCCGAGCCGCAGAGAGCCCCGCTCACCAGCCGCGCTGTCCGGCGTTCTACGCATGCGCAGATTGCCTGAACCCGGCTCTTCCGGGTTGTAATCTACTCGCCACGTGTGTGTAGATTACAGTTTGTTGAGTCCTGTTGATTAGGACTGGCCCAAGTACAGACCCCTGTGGGACACCACTAGTTATCTCACCTCATTCTGAAAACTGACCATTTATCTCTACCTATTGTCTCCTTTTTTTAAAACCAGTTAACTATTAGAGGACCTTCCCTCTTATCCCATGACTGTTTACTTTATTTAAGAGCCTTTGGTGAGGGACTTCATCAAAGGCATTCTGGAAATCTAATATATCTATTAGATATATATCCACTAGATCCCCCTTGTCCATATGCTTGTTGACCTCTTCAAAGAATTCTAGTAGATTAGTGGGGCATGATTTCCCTTTCCAGAAATCATGTTGACTTTTCCCCAAACAAATTATGTCCATCTATGTGTCTGACAATTTTATTCTTTACAATAGTTTCAATTTATTTGCCCGGTACTGATGTTAGACTTACCAATCTGTAATGGCCAGGATCACCTCTAGAGCCCTTTTTAAAGATTGGCATTACATTAGCTATCTTCCAGTCATTTGGTACAGAATATGATTTTAAAAACAGGTTACAAACAATAGTTAATAGTTCCGCAATTTCACATTTGAGTTATTTCAAAACTTTTGGGTGAATGCCATCTGGTCCTGGTGACTTATTACTGTTTAGTTTATCAATTTGTTCCAAAACTTCCTCCAATGAAACCTCAATCTGGGAAAATTCCTCAGATTTGTCATCTAAAAAGAATGGCACGGGTTTGGGAATCTGGGACCCGCATCTGGTCCCTGAGCCTAAGGTTCCCCACTCTGATCCAGACAAACTGGAGAAATGGTCTGACGTAAATAGGATGAAGTTCAATAAGGACAAATGCAAAGTACTCCACTGAGGAAAGAATAATCAGTGGGAAATGACTACATACACAAGTGAAATACGAATCAATAGTGTGACACTATTGTAAGAAAAAGGCAAGCACCATTTTGGGGTGCATTAACAGGAGTATTTTAAGCAGGACATGAAAAGTAATCCTTCTGCTCTACTCCACAACTGATTAGGCCTCACCTGAAGTTTTGTCACCAGTTCTGGATGCACATTTCAGGAAAGATGTGTACAAACTGGAGGTCTAAAAAGAACCACCAGAATAATGAATGGTCAACAAAACATGGTCTATGAGGGAAGATTGAAAGAACTGGATTTGTTTAGTCTGGACAAGAGAAGATAGAGGGAACATAAAAGCTTTCAATTACTTAAAAGATTGTTATAAGGAGGGGAAAAACTAATCTCCTTACCTTCAGATGAATGGACAAGAAACAAAGGGCTTATATTGCAGCAAGGGCGGGTTAGGTTGTACATTAAGGAAAACTTCCGATCTGTCAGGCTGATTGACTTACCTAGGGCGGTTGTAAAATCTCCATCACTGGAGATTTTTAAGAGCACGTTAAACAAATACCTGGTAGGGATGATCTAGAATGGTGTTTGGCCCTGTCATGTATGCAGGGGATTAGACTTTATGACCTCTTGAGGTTCTTTCCAGGTCTATTAGTCCATGATTCTATGTTCAGTATATACCAGCTGTATTATTCATTATACAGTGTGATGCTTTACTAATATATTCTGTGAAAAGTCCATGATCCAGTGAACTTGCAACTTAAATAAGAGTGAACATGTAATGATGTACTCAGTATACTTTTCATATCCAAATAAGAGATGATTCTGCCTAATGTACCTAATCTTTTATTACACCCAATACTGTTTGATCTTTTTTATGATTATTATTTTTTCCTTTGTTTCTCCTTCCTTTCTATTGGGGGATGTCTACACTACAAAGTTAATTTGAACTAACAGCCGTTAGTTCGAATTAACTTTAATAGGGGCTACACATATAAACTGCTAGTTCAAATTTAAATCAAACTAGCGGAGCACTTAATTCGAACTAGGTAAACCTCATTCTACGAGGAGTAACGCCTAATTCGAATTAAGTAGTTCAAATTAAGGGCTGTGTAGCCACTTAATTCGAACTAGCTGGAGGTAGCCCTTCCCAGGTTGCCCTGGTGGCCACTCTGGGCCAAACCAGGGAAACTCTTCTGCCCGCCTCCCGGCCCCGGAGCCCTTAAAGGCGCATGGTCTGGCTACAGTGCTTGTGCCAGTTGCAAGCCTGCCAGCACCCAGCCAGCAGACCCTGCACTTGGCAAGGCATTTGCAGACTCAGACTAACACGGCTACCCCTCTGATACTTGACACCATGCAAGGCACTGCATTTAGCCGTATGGAGTGGAAATCTATCACATGCATCTGATGAAGTGGGTCTTTGCCCACGAAAGCTTATGCTCCTACACTTCAGTTAGTCTATAAGGTGCCACAGGACTCCTCGCCACTTTTGCAGACATGCATCTGACGAAGTGGGTCTTTGCTCACGAAAGCTTATGCTCCTACACTTCAGTTAGTCTATAAGGTACCACAGGACTCCTCGCCGCTTTTGCAGACTCAGACTAACACGGCTACCCCTCTGATACTTGACACCATGCAAGGCACTGCATTTAGCCGTATGGAGTGGAAATCTATCACATGCATCTGATGAAGTGGGTCTTTGCCCACGAAAGCTTATGCTCCTACACTTCAGTTAGTCTATAAGGTGCCACAGGACTCCTCGCCACTTTTGCAGACATGCATCTGACGAAGTGGGTCTTTGCTCACGAAAGCTTATGCTCCTACACTTCAGTTAGTCTATAAGGTACCACAGGACTCCTCGCCGCTTTTGCAGACTCAGACTAACACGGCTACCCCTCTGATACTTGACACCATGCAAGGCACTGCATTTAGCCGTATGGAGTGGAAATCTATCACATGCATCTGATGAAGTGGGTCTTTGCCCACGAAAGCTTATGCTCCTACACTTCAGTTAGTCTATAAGGTGCCACAGGACTCCTCGCCACTTTTGCAGACATGCATCTGACGAAGTGGGTCTTTGCTCACGAAAGCTTATGCTCCTACACTTCAGTTAGTCTATAAGGTACCACAGGACTCCTCGCCGCTTTTGCAGACTCAGACTAACACGGCTACCCCTCTGATACTTGACACCATGCAAGGCACTGCATTTAGCCGTATGGAGTGGAAATCTATCACATGCATCTGATGAAGTGGGTCTTTGCCCACGAAAGCTTATGCTCCTACACTTCAGTTAGTCTATAAGGTGCCACAGGACTCCTCGCCACTTTTGCAGACATGCATCTGACGAAGTGGGTCTTTGCTCACGAAAGCTTATGCTCCTACACTTCAGTTAGTCTATAAGGTACCACAGGACTCCTCGCCGCTTTTGCAGACTCAGACTAACACGGCTACCCCTCTGATACTTGACACCATGCAAGGCACTGCATTTAGCCGTATGGAGTGGAAATCTATCACATGCATCTGATGAAGTGGGTCTTTGCCCACGAAAGCTTATGCTCCTACACTTCAGTTAGTCTATAAGGTGCCACAGGACTCCTCGCCACTTTTGCAGACATGCATCTGACGAAGTGGGTCTTTGCTCACGAAAGCTTATGCTCCTACACTTCAGTTAGTCTATAAGGTACCACAGGACTCCTCGCCGCTTTTGCAGACTCAGACTAACACGGCTACCCCTCTGATACTTGACACCATGCAAGGCACTGCATTTAGCCGTATGGAGTGGAAATCTATCACATGCATCTGATGAAGTGGGTCTTTGCCCACGAAAGCTTATGCTCCTACACTTCAGTTAGTCTATAAGGTGCCACAGGACTCCTCACTGCTTTTGCATAGTTTTATACTTCTCCTCCTCCTTCTTCCCCTGGCTTCCCACTTCCAGCTCCCTCATCCCATGTTTCCCCTTCCCCTCTTCCACCCTCACTTTTCCCCTCTCCCACCTCCTTTTCCCAGTCTCCCCAAAGGTTAATCCGCCCCCCCCCAGTTTTGTTAAATAAAGAGTTTCTATTTTTGAACACACGTGTCCTTTATTTTTTACATCAGGAAGGGGAGCTTGGGAGGGGTGAGTGGAAGAAGGTGAGGGAGGACTGGGGCACAAGCCCCCGATGGGGAGGACTGGGGTGGCTCTGTGGGCTCCTCGGGGTGGAAGCTCTCCTGCAGGGCCTCCTGAATCCTGACAGCCCCCCCAATTAACCCCCGCGGATGGCAGCCTGCAGCAAGTGCAGCCGGGCTGATGGCCGAGTGCTGTGATGTGCCGAGTGAGGGCACTCAGGGCACTCCAAGTCAGGACTGCTTTGCTGTCCCTCATCGAATTAGACAAGGAAGCGGGGAACCCTGAGAACTGTCTGTTCGGGGTGAGGTCGGGTCTCTTTAAGCACAGCCCTTGGCTAGCCTGAGGCAGCAGCTCCACACTCTAAGTACTAATCTGATGCCCTGCCGGCACTGGTTCCGGCCAGCCTTAACTTCAGTTCAGGGGCCACTCAATGTGGACATGCTATTTCGAATTAGCAAAACGCTAATTCAAATTAGTTTTTAGGTCTAGATGCACTAATTCGAATTAGCTTATTTCAAATTAACTAATTCAAATTAAATTAGTTCGAATTAGTGCTGTAGTGTAGACATACCCTTATATATTTTCCCTAGCCTTCCCCATCTCTTAGGTTCACCTCTTCCTTGTTACTCCACTTCATTGTGTTTATGTGAGCAAAACAGAACTGACAATAATAATAATCTCTGAGTAAATGGAACAAAACAGGAAATCTTAACTGTGACCTGCAAGGCAGATATGGGGGGGGGGGGGACTTTGTGAAATATACAGAAGGCCTAAAAAAAAGTGGGGGTCAAAGATGGATCTAAAAAGAATGAACAGGAGATAGAGGAGAAGATTACTTTTTTTTTTACTTTATAAATGCAGGTATTAGGTATTATTGACCTAAAAGATTTGATAGCAACTAAACTGTCATAAGAGAAAAGTGATTGAATGATGAGTAATTGAAAAGATTTTTAGTCAGGCTTTAAAACCCTTTGTTATTTTAACACATATTGAAATGCAATGCCTAACTGGTAGTTTTGACAAAAGAAGTGCTTTTGTTAATAATGCAACAACCAAAATTGCTTCAATTAATATCTAAAAATATGTCATTTAAGACCTTTGATAAATGTATTAGCAAAAAAGATACTGATGATATTTCTAAGCTAACAATCAAGCAGAACTCATATTTAAACAATGCCATGGTTTCAGACAATCTTTATAAATCATAAGGAAGTGAAAAAGAAATTAGATACATTTTTAAAAAATCCTTTGCAGGTTAAAATGGCTATATAACCTCTACCAAGGACCTCATGTATTTCAACACCTAGACTACACTAGCATGAAACTAACCTAATGCAGCTTCCAGTTGCAAGCGTCTGTGATATTTTGAACATTCATCAATCATATTTCTCAGATCTGATACACTGTGTTTGCTTCGTTCTTCAACAAATACACGTGAACACTGTTTTGTTAGTACAGATGTGGGTCGAATAGTTTCTGTGCGGCCATGTTTAAAAGCAGCAGTGCTACATGCTTCGTAAGAAGACATAATTTTTCCAAACTGTCGATAAGCACTCATCTGACATGCAAGTTGAAAAACAGCATCTGGACTTAGTTTTTGTTTCACTAAAAATTCTTTTCCAAACTTTCTGAATTCAAACATTCCCACAGATATTTTCTTATTTGTTTCATCAAATTTCATGCGTGCAGCATTTATAGCAGATAGGATTGAATCATTAAGTCTAAACTCCAGTCTTTCACAGGTGGAAGCACTTAACGCACCAGGACTATGAAGTGGTATAATAGCTGGGTGCCTGGTACTGTTTCTATATACTTCATTGACAAAACGAATGACAGCAACTCCGTCTCCCCAAGAATGTTCAAAATTTATCCCTGCAGTGCCATCGCTAGTGATAATCAGACTAAAGGATTTGTCAAACCAACGATTAAAACCATGTCCATGAAGCAGACAATGTGACAGCTCAGTGTCATCCTTTGGGGAAATATTATCTAAGCAGAGGCAAAAGACTGCACTGTCAATTTTTTGTAAGTTGTCTTCATTGCCTGCTTCGACAAGCTGTTGTCTTACTGCTGCCCAAATATTCCTATCTTCAGTGGTGAGATAACAAAGGGAAAATTCAGGCAAACGATCTGCATCTTGTAAAATATAAATTAACTGAGCCTGGATTTCAGATGGATGCAGAATATTACCAACAGGATCCAAAACATCAAAAACATAAAAATGTCCATTTCGCATCACCAACAGATGTCTTCCCCATTCATTTGTAAACAGTTCATCTTTGTTTAATTTAGGAATTCTGGAACTGTTGAAGAGACGTTTATATTGTGACATATCTAAGGGATATGCATTTACCATATAAGCTCCAAAACAAGATATAGAGGTTGGAAGAAAGCGGATGAAGTTTTTGAAGGGCCTACTCTTGCTCCACTTTGGATCGACATAATAGATATCTGGCCGTAAACACTGTTTTTTTAAGGAGTTAAGAAATTTTATTGATGATACTACCAGATTTGTTGCCCTCAATATCTGACTGTTGTATGCTTCTTTTGGATCAGGATTTAAAGCAACAAAAGGATTGAAGTTTAAAACAACAGGGTCTCTGGCACAGAGATACATATCAAACCAGGGATCTACAAAAAAAGTTAATAAAATCAGTTTTAGCATTTTGATGTACAAATGTTGTTTTATAAAGACATTATTTGTATACGGCATCTCATTATTTTATTGAATTATTTGTTTCAAATTGGTACATAGAAATTTATGAAAGTAATTTAAAAGAACAAAAAGCACTCAAAATATAGATACATATCGAGTTTTTGAAAAGACAACCAATTCTTTTCCATTTTCAAATTCCACTTCAGACCTGAAAAGAACACACATTTCGTTGCAGTGCATAGGGATTAGTTTGGCCCCAGGCATAAAACCCCCAATCAGTTGGCTCTTCCTTACCAAAGTAACAGGTATCTAAGAAATAGCTATGATAGGCAAACACAAGCTGTACATTTCATTTCCTATATAAAATATACTGAATAGCAGTGCTGAAAGTAGAAAGTAAGGACCCAAACATTCTGCTTCCTTCCAAGCAATACCACTAATTTTCTTTTACATAGGGCATGTTAGTAAATTTGTTTTTTACTGCTTCTTTATAATTCATGAAAATTGTTTCAACTAACTTTCTGTCCATTCCACTTAGGAAGGAACAATCATTTTCACACATACAAAATGGGAAATGACTGTCTAAAAAAGGAGTACTGTGGATAGAGATCTATGGATCATAGTGAACACAAATTGAATAGGAGTCAACAGCATGATACTGTTGCAAAAAAGTAAACACCATTCTGGGATGTATTAATGGGAGTGTTGTAAAAAAGACACGAAAAGTAAATCTTCCACTCTACTCTGCACTGGGTGGGCCTTAACTGGAGTTTTGCATCCAGGTCTGGGCACAATTTCAGGCAAGATGAGGACAAACTGGAGACGGTCCAGAGAAGAGCAACAAAAATGATTAAAGATCTAGAAAACATGACCAATGAGGGAAGATTGAAAGGACTAGATTTGTTTACTATGGAAAAGAGAAGACTGAGATGGGAAATAACAGCTTTTAAGTGCCTACAAGGTTGTTACAAGGAGGAAGAAGGAAAAGTATTCTCCTTAATCACTGATGATAGGACAAGAAGCAATGGACTTAAATTGCAGCAAGGGAGTGTTGAGATTAATCTGAGTGCTGTTATGTGCTGATACGGACAGTGCAATCCAACTTCCATTTTGAATTCTCAGTTCCATTTTACCATCTATGAACTATAGGGACTGTTTGAGGCAAAGGAACTGGTATGGACTGGATTTTCCCACCAGAACTGTTGCACCCAGTACTAAAAGGAGCACACGTCACTTACCATCATTTGCCCATGGCACTAAACATCTGCACTCAGCACTAACTGTTTGCACTCTGTACCATCTAATGTGTACACGGCACAAACCTCCTTTTCCCACCAAGGACTTTGTAAAAGGAGGTCTTGCCCTAAGGTTTGGGTTGCTTCTTCCTCAGTTCTTGAGTTCCCCTGTTCCTCGGTTGCTGCTTCGTCGGACTCAAGGGTGGTGAGAGTCTCAGGCCTCTGTGACATCTTTCAGCGTAGACTGTAGCGAAGGTTCAGCTACTGCGTGTGGGAGTGTCAACTAGGGTATGTCTACACTACCCTCCTAGTTCGAACTAGGAGGGTAATGTAGGCATACCGCACTTGCAAATGAAGCCCGGGATTTGAATTTCCCGGGCTTCATTTGCATAAGCGGGGAGCCGCCATTTTTAAATCCCTGCTCGTTCGAACCCCGTGCCGCGTGGCTACATGCGGCACGGGGTTCGAACGAGCAGGGATTTAAAAATGGCGGCGCCCAGTTTATGCAAATGAAACCCGGGAAATTGAAATCCCGGGCTTCATTTGCAAGTGCGGTATGCCTACATTACCCCGCTAGTTCGAACTAGCGGGGTAGTGTAGACATACCCCTAG